TCGTCGAAGTAAGCGCTTGCAGAGCCAAATACCTGTAGCCTTTACTAAAGTAGAATCGACACTCCAAAATTCCATTCATGTGCATCTAAGTATGACAATGGTGCTCTGCCCTCGGTAAATTCCATTTCGCCAACCGAACGCAGTTGGGCAACCTTCCGTTTGTAGCCAGCACTAAACTCTGCAACATGTTAGTCATTTGAGAAGCGTACTGTGCTACCTGTCATCATCGTTCGACTTCACTTTGTATTGCGACTCCGCGCTCAGTGTAGAGATACTTTATTGCGCTTTGGACGGCGCTTATGGTGGCGAACGAGTTGTATTGGAGTGGAATGCATTCGGCGCCGAGGCGATTTCTCTTGATGCTAGAGTGCTGCAACATGGCAATACATACCGACACACTGAGGGGTAGAATTATGGCTCCTCCGACCACACACGACGGGTGATCCTTTTCCAGCCACCGCGTCAAACGTTCAATCGTCACGTCGTATTGCCTCCTCGTGATACTAACCACGCGGAGAGCAATTATGTCGTCGCCCGGTTCCACAGTCGCATTGAATGCTTTCTCTTTGCGGCCATCGCCAAGTGCCTCCGGCTTGCCATGACGCCACAGTCAGAATAAAGCAATACGAATCTACATTAGAAATCTTTCCGGATACCTGTGTTTCGTAAAACCAATTCTTCCTCTGTTTCAGTATGAAGTATACCTTTTCGTAGAAACTCCAGAAGTCAGTCAATATTCCGCTAAATTGAGTCAAAATGACATAAATGAACAGAGGAATCATCAAGGAATACCCCAGTATTTTCAGATGTTTTTATTCACCACCAAGCCTGAGTAATTATGTTTCAAACATCAAAAATACAAAACACAAACATAAAAAACACCGTAACTCAGTCAATCCTGCTCCAATCGATCTGAAACCAAGCGGAATCGCTTCCTATTGACGCGTAGATATGCCTAGCGACCTTCAGAAATTTGCAATTCTCGAGGAGATACGCAAGTTCTGCGATGCCGTCGTCCACGACGACCAAACGGTTGACGGATGCTCAGCGCACCGACATCTACATTCGTATGTCGCTGCTCAAGGCCGACGGCCGCATCAAGCATGGCGAGCTCAAGAAGGTCTGCAGGGTCACCAAGGGAGCACTGGCCAAGATTTGGAAGCGCGCCTGCGAGACACGGGAGGTGGCGTCGAGTTAGTTTCAGAAGAGTAATAAATGTATGATATCATGCAGTCTCTGGTCGTAAAACAGCAATTTTGAATAAAAATACAGGTCGACGAACCTTTTTTATTTAATTGCTCTACATACTTTCATATAAAATTCACATTTATATAAAGGTGAACTTCATTGTGGAACAGAGGAAGTATATGGTAGCATATATCCAGAAGCATACAAACTTTAAGACAACATGATTTACATATTAGGGCTTTACGAGACAAGTTTGTTTCGTAACTCCATCTATTTCGAGGGTTTCGTGTTCCGTAAATCCATACTATTCAGGATTATATACATGCATATTGGACATTCTGCCACAAACAACTTCAAGGTCATCGTCGAAAATACTGTTCAGGACAAACAGTTTGTCACAGTCGACTGCGACTTTCCAATTTGCCTCGTACCACTAAGTCAAGAAGCTCTCAGCGCCGCCGCGCTCAAGATGTCCGCCGAAAACAGCTGGATGCCGCTCCGTGAGACCATCACTCACGGACCCGAAAAATCGAACTTCCGCGAGGAAGATGTGTCTGGTCCAACCATCCATCCGGATGATGGACCTGGTGTGAGTAACACAGTGTTACTCACACCGAATGAAGATCTCGTAGATGGCTTTGGCCGAGCTCCGACCTTCGCCGCCGGTGTTGTCAGCGTCGAGTCCACGATTGGTGTGACGTCAAGGAAGACCTCACTCAGGAGGGCAAGCCCCGTGGCGTCGCAAGTGGCTGTGTGCCTTTCGTGTCCGTAGCTGAAAGTGCCGGCGCGGGTAACTTCGGACTGCTTCAGGCTCGTTCGTCGTCCCTAGAGGCTCGAGGTAAAGACGCCTCAGTTGATACTGCCCTCCTGGGGACACAGGGAGAAGGGTTGGTACGCTGAGGGCGGTTCTTGTCGGAGCGAGGGTTGCATCCCCATCATCGTTTTGCGTGGACGACGACGTCGGGGGTCTAACGCATACCGGAGAAACTTCGCCGGGTACCAACGGTCTTGCCCCGACCAGTCTTGTGAACAACGAGGCTGGTAACACAGCTACCCATGGTGGCTCCGCCTGTGCTGAGCCTCCCAGAGGAAGAAGAACTCGTGGTCTCGACTGGAGACACTGATCGCATGGCAATGCCGGCTCGATTAACGGCGAATTGAAGTCGTCTCGTTCGATAAGACGGAGCGGGCACCAAGAACGGAGAAAAAAGCGCTAAAGTCACACCAACGAAAGTATCCAAACCCAAAGGAACTTCGCAAAACACCAAGTTCCGTGAAGCGGATGGACACGCTGTTGCCGACGATGACACCGCTCGGTGTGAAGCAGTGGCGGGTGTTTTCTACAAGAACCCTGCAGACATGCCCCACTCTCAAGTCTACGAGCTGACAGTGCACTTGGGCGAAGGCTACTGCGACTGGAAAGAGAAGACTCTGTGCAGTCAATTCGTCAAGTAAAACCCGGGATCGCTGTGGGGATCCAAGTTCCGTGAAATCCTGATCCACAAGGATGGTCATGTTACCATGGTCATCTCGTGCTACAGCTTGGCAACCTGTATCGCGATGGGTGGATCCACGTTTAAGCTTGGTGGGAAACATTGTCAAGTCACATAGAGTCCGGCAGAAGCCCCCGGGATTCCACAACCAATACAACTGCTGGTACTTTCCGCTATTCGACTGGTAAGACCGTCGCTACAACCTGAGGACACACTCCTTTGTCGCCGACCCCTGAAGTCGAGCATGCGAAAATCCGAAGCCTTGCGGGCAGCGACATGTCGATTGAACAAGGACACGGTGGGGCGAAAACAATGGACGACAATGACATGGGTGACACTGCAGCCAGTCCGTCAGTCGTTTTGAACACTCGCCCAAGCGAAATGAAAGCTATGAAAGTCATGAACACTCCACACCATATCCAGCCCGCTATCGCTCCCGAAGTGGAGGAGCAATACTCATCTTCTCCGCTGGAATTCCAATTGGTTACGGGCACCGGTTCAATCCAGCTCTCATGCGGCCAGTGTCACCTCTGCCACCGTAAGTGACAACGTCAAACCGCTATGCATTGCTCCAAGAAGACGACTTGGAACTTCCTTGGAAGGCTATGCGCTGCCTAGGGTTGTCGTGGAAGATGCTGAATTTCCTCGCCTAACCACCCTAGCAAAAAAGCCGACCCAACAAGTCCAAACACGCGCACTTCGAACGAACGGCCAAGCTGATTCGAGAGAAGGTTGCCGAATCCAACATCTTGGCGTGCACTCGCTTGCTCAGACCCGAGCCGCAAGTGGTGGCGCATTCCATGTACCCAGCGGAGGGCGGATTTGGATTGTTGGAGGCTCTGGCCACCACCCGCACCATTCACCGTCTTATGGCCTCTCACACCGTGACCGGCGACAGCGGCGACTACACGATGTACTTGCCGTTTTACGCCAAAGCTGCCAAGACCCGCAAGAGCTAGTCTGTGAATTGGTGGCCGATCCAGCGGAGTATACTGTTCCTTTGGCCATAGGAACGGTAGATTTGTTCCTGACGAATCGAGCTCCGGATTTGTATAACAACCTCGACGCTCTTGATCACTTCTGCGGCCAACTTGCCACACGGTGGGCGACTGGCGATATCCTGACGGATTAGTCAATCCTGAAAGTGGAGAGAACGCTCTACCCAACTCTCAAATGCATGAACCTTCCATCATTTACTGGGGACGCACTTGAGTTCTTGGTGGAAACGGTCATGGACCACTCCACCAACCTCGACACTCTGTGAGACGAAGGGACGCACTCCATCCAAGCCACAGCGTGGGAAGACCTCCAGGTCTCCGCGTAATGTTGTTGTTTCTACACCTCCAACTACAGGTAACGACGGAAAAATTCACCCAGTGGCACTTGTTCATGTTTTTGGAATATTCATGTGGACATGGCATTCTGAACACTAAGGCAAAATCCCAATATTTTAGCCAATGGGTGACATTTTATAACACGACGAAGGGCATGACATGATACACGTTCTAATCACGACGGCATTTGAGTGCAAATCTTTTTCAAGGGACCTTGTCAAATTTCCTGTACAAATTCGTCCATCCTAATTCATCGACACAGATTAATTGCAAACAATCTCTTGTGAGCGATCCATTTTGGCCAAGCCGAAAATTGAGTCGGGTATCACCGCTGTGCCCCAGGTTCGATTTCCCGAATCCCCAGTCTATGCCAGTTGGTGAGGTGACTTTTTCCGCACTTGATTTCCTCAAAGAACGTAAGACTTCCCTACACAAGAAGCAATGACCCCTCGTGGGACTATGGAATGATGGTTAGCCAATAGCGAAAAAATTATGGGGAAAGAATTTTAAGATTAGTATGCAATATAAATGAAATTGTATACACGTTGGATTCACAAAAAATATCTCGCATGCAAAGATTGAATGAATCCACAGCACTAATTCATGATTGGCTCGTTCAAATTTGCCGCTAGTGCTAACGTCTTCGCGCACGAGCATGGGGCTGTACACGAGGTACTCAAATGATACCGATTTGCTTCGTCGATGCATGACTTCATGAATGATGTCCGAGACAACGAGCACTACCTCACCCATACTCATTTCATAACGTTCATGAAACTGCACCAAAAGAATTGGCTCGAGGAGTACATTGCTAACAAGAATAACGACGATAAGGCGTAAAACAGATTGCTCCGACTCTGCCAACGGTTTACCAAGCGCTATCGCTTCTCGAAGTGAGTGCCATGTGCGACCAAGCTTAAGCAAGTTGTGCTTGCTGAGACGAAAACTTCATTTGCAAAGGAGTTTTGGGAAAAGTTCAA